TTTTTTAAGATTTGTTTTGTTTGTTTTTCGTTTGTGTGCGACCCCCTCAGTTTTTTTAGCACCAGCCGCCACTGATCAGAACCAAAGTGGTTCATTAATGTTCAGTATTAATGGATTTTCCTCTGGGTTCCTTTTTCTGAAATATTCACTGCAGAATTGGATGATAATATTTCTTTCACCAAGCTCAAACAGTCCAGATTGTTTTCATGCATCCAGGCTGGAGGAATAAGCTGAGCAGAACCAGAACCCAACAGAACCTGACAGAACCCGACCATAAAAATGTTATGTTTTAATTTGTAAGTTTGGTCAGAAGCATAAATGCATAAATGTCAACATATAAAATACAGGATCGTTTTAATCAGTGATGCTAACTGGGAGCTTCATGTTTTGTAGCAAACAATAAATGTGATCAGAGGATTTGGAGGAAAAACAAACAGATGTCAGCAGTAATTTTCCATTTGAAACAAGGAAGTGAAGATAAAGGACAATGTTTAAAAAAAAATTAAAAAAATGTTCTCTGCGGTTTCAGTCCAGGAGCTGACATGTTTAGGCAGCTTAAGGGAACAGCAAAGGTTTCATCCAGGAAACCAGAAATCAGTTTCATAACCTCAGCTTTAGACGTCTAATGAAGAGAATTAAAGGCATCAACGCTCACTCTATAATAAATGGTTTATACAGGAATCTGTCAAATAGATCTGCAGAAACAAATAATAAACAACAATAAATGCTGAATAATGAACATTCCTGAAACACAACCCGGCTCTGTGTCGGAGTTTCTGAGGCTTTGGATGTTCAGCTGTTCATTTTCACTGCATGTGTGAAATTAAAACCCTCTACAGCAGCTAAGATTCAGTTTAACACATCGTAAAAAGTCATGTAGTCATAACGTTACATAAACAGACATTTTGTCTCCAAATTAGCCTGGAACAAACTGTTGTAGGGATGGGATGAGTTTGAACATGTTACTGTGAGGTCGAAGCATCAAACGAGGAGGCAAACCGAGCACAGAAAGAAACATAAGAATTAGAGATGTGCCGATCAGGTTTTTTCCTGCCGATACCGATACCGATCACCCATAAGGGCCGATATACCGATCACCGATCATGCACTTTTTCACGAAAATCGGCCCGATTATGATCGGTGACCGATCGATCGGCACACCTCTAATAAGAATGTTATTATTATTATTATTATTATTGACGGGGTGTGAATAAGACTGACATGAACATGAATAAACCTTCATGAATATTTATGACAACAGTCATAAATATTCATGAAGGCTTATTCATGTTCATGTCTTATTCACACCTCGTCAAATAAAGTGTTACTGTTTTATGTTACTAGTTTGTTTTCATTTAAAGGTTTGGTGTTTTCACCCTATGGAGGAGGAATTTAACGAATCTTTCCTTAACCTCAAGCATGTTTTTACAGGTGGTGTTTTCTGTTTTCTGTGAAGCCCTGTTGCTTTCTCTTTCCCACACCCTTCCTTGGAAATAAAAGATAAGCTCCTGCAGCAGGATGTAAAAACACACGGTGAACTGCTGGTGGGGGTCAGGCTGGCAGGGTTACTGCGCCTTCTCAATTCTTGCAAGAATTTGGTTGAAAACTAAGAAACGTCTGTAGTTCTTTTTATAGAGGATGAGAAAATACCTATCAGAGACCGTTTTACAACCTCAGGGAAATGTTACGTTTAATCACAGTGGTCCTCTGTGATGCTGTAGTAGCATCTCAAGTCATGCCAGTTATCATTATCATTACACCAACTGACTTGGATCCATTTGTCTCATCTGACCCTGGATCTGTTCTTGTGCAGCTCTACCTACAGATGCAGAGGTTTCCTGTGTCGTCAAGCAGAGCTGCATCTTACCCTGCAGCTTCCAGAGCCTCGGTGAACCCATCCTCCACTGGACTCAGCTGAAATCACCAGAGCTGAGAGTCCATTCGTTTTATAGCAACCAGGACCAGCTGGGTCACCAGGACCAGAACTTCAGAGGCAGAACGTCTCTGTTCCTGGATCAGGTCTCCAGAGGAAACGCCTCCCTGCTGCTGAGAGATGTTCAGCTTCAGGATGAGGGGAGATACAACTGCTACATCAGCACCACTGAAGGATATAAAGGTTTAATAATAAGACTGAATGTGGACGGTATGAGCTACGGAGGAATAAAACAGAGAAACCTTGGAGTTTGGTTTATGTGCTGGACTTTAACTTCTCCATTTATCTTCCCACAGCTCCAGTCTCTGACATCAGGATCCATCAGGATGGAAACAGGATCACCTGCAGCTCAGAGGGGATCTACCCTCAACCTGAACTCACCTGGTCCACTGAGCCTCCATCCAACATGGCTCTGCAGAACAGAACCACAGTCCATCAGACTGAGGAGAAGCTTTATGACATCAGCAGCTCTCTGACGGGTCCAGATGGTCCAGATCTGACCTACAGCTGCAGCATCAGAACCAGGAGGAACCAGAGGAGAGCAACGTTCAGGGAACTATGTGAGTGTTTGATTCCCCAATAGATCACACCGACACTTCGACCTGCTTCAGGTTGGTTTTTTATTTCTTTTTCACTGAAGAAGAGAGAAGTTTGAGGAACAGAATCTGGGATCATTTCTCAGTTTTCTTCTGAATATATTATCAGCTGAGCTAAACAGAGCAGACAAACATTATACTGAGCTAAGAGTGAAACTGCTTCAATATATTTCTACTGACGTAAAAGTAAAAATTAGCCATCCAAGAAATTACGGCTAATTAAGAAAGAGTAAAAATGTAATGAACTGATCATTTAATATTTAAAAGTTACATAATCAGATGGACAAAATGTAAAGGTTTGAGGAAATTTAGGTATTTTAAGGATCAACATTAAAATTTATATTACAAAGTAACAAAATACCAAAGTCAGACAAAAGAAAGAAAATCCAAATCAATTTTGTTTTGAACAAAAACTGTGTGTCAGGTGACTTTTTGGTAAAAACAAACGTCTTTTCCATTCAGTGAAGTTACACAGTGGTTACAGAATCCAAAGTTTTTACTCAGACAAGAGTAGAGATACAAAGTAAAATTACTCCAGAAAAAGTAAAAAGTATAGCAGAGTAAAAATACTACTAAAAGTTTTTTGTTTTTTTTCCAAAGACGTATTCCAGAAAAGGTAACCAGTTAAGACCCATCTCTGATTTTCAGCACCGGTTACCGTGACGACAGATGAAACGTTGCTTCCCTGCTCGGGGCTGAACGGTTCAGAGACGACTGTAGTTTGGAGGTTCAACCATCAGACGGTCCTGAATCAGACGGGAAGGAGCCGCTCCGTGTCAGAGAGGTGGAGGAAACATGTGAAGGATGTTTCAGAGCGTGGAGACCTCAGTCTGCAGGGACTCGACCCTGATCTGGAGGGAAACTACAGCTGTGAGAGCAGCGACGAAGACGAAACCATGGTGACCCAGATCACCGTGAAGAGAGGCGGTGAGGAGACAAGAGAAAACTCCTGAACTATACAAATACTGAGGAAACCATGAAATACATGCAGAGATTCATTCTGACACGGTTTTCATTTCAGATAAATCATCCTGGATGGTTTGGTTGGTGATTGGGATCATTTTGATCATAGTGACATTTTCTCTGCTGCTGTGTTTCTGCTGGAAAAGAAGAAAAGGTAGAAACCAGTCAGCAACATCCTCTGAATGATTTCATGTTCTTTTCTATTAATGATGTCCTCTAAACACATTTCAGGACTGATGTAATTCAAAACAAGAAGGATTATGAATGTGATGTAAGTATGATTTTATTTTCATATCCTGATGTCAGAAGGTGAACCAAAACTTTCCTGTCTGATAAAAGATACATATTGTCTGAAAGCAAACATTTTTTAACTGATCAGGAAAAGTTGAGTAAAACGTGAAATGATTGAACTAATAAAGTTTTATCTGTTTGACCTTTTGTTCAGGAAGCAGAGAGACGAAGGTTCTGACATGTTGTTCTGCTGATGAGCCCAGTGGACCTCAGGTTTCCCTGGGTNAGAGGAAACAGCCGCCCACTAACAGCTAAAGTCTGTAAATACTGGAGATTCATGTTAAAATGGTTATTAAATTGTTTTAGGGTTTTTGGAGGCTTTTTTAATCTTCTATTTGTTTTAGGATGAACATGTTCAGACAGATTCAGGCATGTTAGCAGCTGTTTCTACTTTCCTCCATCAGTGTTATAAAAATGTTGCTTTCCTTTTCGTTCAGGACTTTTTTAAATTCGTTACCAGAACAACAAACTGTTACAATCTTCTTTCTGAAGGCCTCAGATGACAGAAAATCATAAAACATTCATTCCTTTGTGTTAATGTGTGACTGAACTGGCAACCTTTCAAAACTAATTTCAATATTTAATTTCTAATGACTGTATATATTTATTTTATTTATCTTTAAATATGTTTGTACAGTTGAATACAATCTAAAGTTTAAGGGTGATGTCAATAATTACAACGTTATGACTCCTCTAAGACACACAGTGATGAAGAAAACTGTTAAAAATAAATGGCTGAAGAATAAATTTTGGGAATGTTTTTCTTTGGACACTTCCTTAAACTTAAAATAATACAGTAGATGTAACTCAGACAGATTGTACTGGATCTGGAAGATGATCTCTAACTGAGCTGCTCTGAAGAAAGCTTTGAAAATTTATTTATTTTCTTTTTTCGGAGGGAAACTTTAAGTAAACTCACGAGAGTAAATTCATGGCAAATCCTCCATGATGAGTTTTACTTCAGATCAATGAAGGAGAGAAAGCAGATAAATTTGATGAAGACAAACTGACTGATGAGGCCATTAGTGATGTTTTACTGTCTGAACATGTCATCTTATTGTTTGCAGCATCTTATCTGTTGTTGTGACTTTTGAATAAAATGTTTCTCCCTGGTTTTGCTGCTGTCTTTGACTCTAACATTTCCCTCATTTATTCATCAGAAACATGTCTGATGAATCCGACTGACATTCCTGTAGCAAAATATTACACAATGTAACAAGTTTTATCATTTCATTCAGAACAGAAACAAAAACCAACCTCATGTATTTTGGTGATCAAAGATGAAGAAGGCATTTAAATGTAGTTGCTTTATTTAAAGAACAAAGTATTTATACAATAACAAAACATTATGTAAAAATCTTTCTACAGAAATGAAGATCATGGCATCAATAAAGATTCTGAGAAAGTTTAGCTGGTAGAATATAAATGATATGTTTAGCTGCGCCCCCTGCTGGGCAGGAGATGAAACATACAGTAAAATCTTCATTTAGGAAAAAAATCTGAAATACATGCAAATATAAGAAAGAATTAAAAAACATGAACATAAAACTACATCAAAGCTCATGAATCCTGTCGACGGTAAAATGGGAGAATTAAAACCAAACCAGTCTCTGAATGAATGAAAGGTTTAAAGCTGCAGAGCTTCACTTTCCTCCATTTTCTTCTTGTAGCTCATCATGAATCCAGCTGCTGCTGCTGCAATCACAACACAAACCACCGTCCGTCTGATGAGTTCAGAAACCACCAGATTCTCTGAAACCAAAGAAGTTCAGGAGTTTAGCTCAGAGACTCATTTGTAGTTCAGAACATCAGATTTTTACCATCTAATGAAGCTTAAATCCTGAATCCTGTTACCTCCAGTCCTCCTCAGATAGAGCCGAGTTATAATGGTCTCCTCATCATCACTGAGCTCACAGCTGTAAACTCCCTCCTGATCTGAGGTCAGATCCTGTAAGGTGAGGCTGCCGGACGCTGAAACGTTCCTCACATGTTTCCTCCACTCCTCTGAGATGTTGTAGATGTTTCTGTCAGTCTTGGTCAGGATGATCTGACTGTGGTTGAACCTCCAGACCAAACTGGAGGCAGAAATGTTGAAGGAAGAGCAGCAGATTGTAACCTGAGACCCTGAGAAACCCACAGA